ACACACAGACAGTGGGTACATGTAGAAGATGGCAGAAAAGCAATTGTAAAAAAGGAAAACGTGTATCTGTGCATTTAAACAGCACATTTTATGGGGTGCCTGGATGGCTCAGTGGGTTGAGCCTCTGCCTTCGGCTCAGGTCATGATTTCGGCGTCCTGGGTCAGGCTCTCTGCTCAGTGGGGAGCCTGCTTCCTTCTCTCTCTGCCTGCCTCTCTGCCTGCTTGTGATCTCTCTGTCAAATAAATAAATAAAATCTTAAAAAAAAAATAAACAGCACATTTTAAAAGGTTTTGGGCAAGTCTCATAAGCTGTTCCTTGTTTTAAAACAGTATAAAATTTTTCCTCCAAAATATAGGCAGCAAACAGAAACCCAAGTTCCCTAATTAGAGCTTTAATATTCCCTGCTATAAAAATCTCTCAAATTCTGTAACATAATTAAAGACTTTAAATTATCTTGGTTATTAGACACTCAAACGAAGAAATGACACCTCCTGGCGAGTGTCCTGATGGAAGGCTTTCCTCAGTTATAAACACATTCAATCAATAACTTGCCTAACGACCATTTCATGATGTTTACTCTGGGCAGAAACCAGCCACTGCTGTATCATCGCTCAAAGAATACATACAAGATAAGCCACACCTGTTTTAACCACAAACCCAAGCACTGAGCAGGCTCAGATCTTTAGTAAAACAATGAAAATATGCAAACTAGATGCATGCATTTTCGCTATCGCTTAGAGACCTTTTCCCATCAACTGTGATTTCAGCAATAGCTACAAAATCAATCAAAAAAACCTTTGTTCATTAAGAAAACTCATCTCACCAGATTCTTGGTTAATAAGTGGTCTGACATTTTAAGGAAGTCTTCCTTATTAGACATTTGAGGGCTCTAAAAATCTGCCATCTCTATTCTACTCAACCCAGGAAGTCTGAGTGTCTGAGTGAAGGAAGTAGAATTCCAAGGTTGCTAGGCAGACTGTCCATCATTCTGGATTTATCTTCTTACAGTCTTTGATCTAGATAACCATAATGTCCATATTTTTTTCATAATTTCTATATGTGGGCATTATGCCTGAATCTTAAAGGAATTTAATAATTTTGAAATATTCCCTTATTAAGAATTGAATTATTGTCATAATAAACTTGGAAGCATTTCCTAGCAGCTGTTAAATGCAAGGCTCAAAATATTCTATGTATTCTTTAATTATCTCTTTTTAGCCTCACCACAGTGTTGCCAGGTAGGTGGTTTTATACCCACTTTAAAAACAAGAAAATGAAAGTTCATGGAGTTTTAATTATCCATTAATGAGTGAGTGAGACCATCTGCATAATCAAAGCAGTATGATTCCACTGCCCAGGATTTTTAGCATTTGAAGAAATCAAGACCATAATTGCAGATTGTTTGTAGGATAAAGAAATGAACATGTTTTTATAGTAGAGGTGTTTGGATAGGGCTTCATAGGATAACAGAGAAAGGATGTCCACAACATGTGGTTTGTCTTGGTGAAAACATGAAGAAAGTTTTCAAGAATTGACTAATGTGAACAGCACAGACCTACGACATGGATCAAGTAGAAGGTCATCAAGAGCATCCTAGGAAAGAGCTAGGTTTTAGGACTTGATTCATGGTACAGTGAGATGCAATGGTCTTTCCAGAAGAGAATGGAGTGACAGAAGAGAATGACAATGATCCATCTCTTACTCTCATGAGAGGAATTATTTCTAGAAATAAATCGGACTACGCCTCTCAGAGCCAAAAACTTAAGAGACTTCTCAGCAGCTCTGAGATAATATCTCAACACTTCTAAATGGCATTCAGGGTACCAACATTTTGTTAAAGCTTTCCTCTTGCTACTACTCCCTCATCTGTGTTCCATCCATACTAAGTTACTCACAGTTTCCAGGATGTGCCATTCTGTCTGATGTATGTGCTCTCATGATATTTCCTTGACTTTGTCTAAGAGATGAACTTCAACTCAGCCTTTAGGAGCCTCCTTAAGGATTTTCTCCTCTGTGAGTAATATTTCCTAAGAAATTAGTGTCTATTTTTAGCCTGCTCCTCCCTTCAAAAACTGTCTCATTGTTCCACAAAGGAGTATTGGGAAAATACTAGAAGCATTTTCATTAAAGTTATGAGCAAATCAAAAACATTAACTCTGTTAACCAAAGTACCAACAGGTGGCACACCCCAATTAAGATTATTTGGAAAGGAATTAATAAACTCATAGAAAGGTATGGGCAGGGGATATAAAGAAACCAGAAGGAATAGTGAACTGTTGAACTACTCTTTGCGTTAACAATAACAAGGGAGGGGGAAGCAACAACTCGAAAAAATATTGTCACCTAGTGAGGGCTGCTTGAAGGAAATTATGATGTTTCATTGCAGGATTCAGTCAGCACAAGGTAAGCCCACAGGAAGGTGACCAAAGAAATAAATATCTGATGTGACTCTCTTCCCTTCTTCTAATCTCTTACCAGGGCTTCCCTTTGGCCAGACCCAAATAGACACTAGAGTATAGAAGACATCACTAAAATTGTCAGACAGCCTCTGAGGACAGAAGGCAGAGTGGAAAAGTGTGGAAAATGAATTTGGAGAGCCAAATGGAGGATAACAATATATCTACTTTAAATACTATCATGTAATATAATAGAAGTACAAGCCAATAAAATTAGCAAAGGCAAATAAGAGGCATAAAAACTAGAAAGGAAAAGTGAAATGTTTCACTGATTAAATATAATTGATTATATATGTGTAACACTCAAAAGAATTAAGGGCACATTTTTCATTAAAAAATTCAGTTTGGGGGGGCACCTGGATGGCTCCATTGGTTAAGCATCAAGCTCTTGATTTCGGCTCGGGTCACGATCAGGGTTGTGGGATTGAGCCCCTCTTTGGGCTCTGCCCTGCACATGGAGCCTGCTTAAGATTCTCTTTCTCTTTTTCCCTCTGTCCCCCCCTTTCTCTCACTCATTCTCTCTCAAAAAAAATTCAGATGGATGGATAAAAAAATTAATACACAATCATCACTGGCCTTCTTATTATCAATATATGGAAGAAGTGGTCCCATTTAAAATAGGATAAGATAAACTAGGAATAAGCTTTCAAAAATATGTAACATCTTGGGGCATCTGGGTGGTACAGTCAGTTAAGCACCCCATGTTGGGCTCTGCACCCAGCAAGGAGTCTACTTGAGATTCTCTCCCTCCACCCCTCCCATTCATGTTTGTGCTCTCTCTCTTTCAAATAAATAATTTTTTTTTAAAAAAGCCTTTAAAAATATGTACCATTCACACAAAGAAAAATGTGAAACTATAAAACATAATTGAAGTACACAGAAGAAGACTTGAATAATAGGAAGTTATATTCTATTCTTGAAGAGGAGGACCTCATTTCATAAGGTTATCACCAACTTAGGGATAACATAAAACTATCCTATATATCACCAACCTGGTGGTGGATCACGAACATGGATGGATCTAGAGGGTATAATATTAAGTGAAATAAGTCAGTCAGAGAAAGGCAAACACCATATGATTTTTCTCAAAAATGTGGAATTTAGAAAACAAAATGAATGACAAAAAAAAAAAAGACAAACTGAAAAACCAACTTTTATCTACAGAGAACAAAATGATGGATAGTGGGGAGGGGTGGGTGAAACAGGTGAAAGAGATAAAGAGTACACTTATGATGAGCATTAAGTAGTGTCATAGTATTGTTGAAGCACTGTATTATATACCTGAAACTAATATAATGTTCTATGTTAATTACATTGGAATTTAAAAAAATTTAAATAAGAATCTGCTTTAAAAAATCTCTATGGGACAATATCAGAGTTCACCTACTCTGACAAGTAAATTTCACTTATAGAAATTACACTATAAACTTGTAAATATGAATAATAAAATACTTACTATAATTTGTTCCTGACAGCAAAAGATCGGAAAACAAAATATGGTTTAATAAATTGTAGTATATTCACGTAATGGAGTAAAGGCCAAACATTATTTTAAATGTTTTAAATATTTCCATGTTTTAATTATTTGTAAACATTTCAGTGATTCATTTTCATGCAACTACTCATTGAACATTTACTTTGTAGTTAGCGCTGTGCTATTCCAGGCTATCTAGGGATAACTTTATGCATATTGAAATGGAATAATCTATGAAGTTTTAGGTGAAAAGATAAAGGTAAGGTAAAGGATAGTTAGAACATATGCTCCTATTTGTGGAAAAATATGTATGTTCATAGATGTTAATACATGTGTGTATATTAAGAGGTTGGTGTTATTATCCTTATTTTACAAATAAGAAAACCAACTTGAGAATATGGTAAAATCTGATCAGGGAACCAGTAGAGGTATAACTATGATTTGAATTTAAATTTATCTGACCCCAAATCACAGGAACTTTCCAATATAGCCTGTTAACTCTTGAGTAAACTTTATTAGGGGAGAATGAACTACTCCTTTTTATACCATCAGTAGACCTTGCAAATATACATTATAGAACTTGTCACACTGTACTGCAGCAATGTGTTCATAGGTTGGTCTCTCCTGATCTACTGTGGGCTTCATGAAAGTAGAAGCTCTACAGAGCCATCTTTGTGGCCCTACTGCTTTGGTAGCGCACATTGTAGAAAAGCTCTTTTAGGCATGAAAGGCAATAACACACCTTTGCACACAAACAACGAAGAGAGCTTAATTGGGCCTAGTAAGGCAAGTGCAAGTTCTTCTAACTATAAGAGTACTAACACAGTGTCTTATAATATCTGAGGATCATATGAAATTTTAGCTCAGTGGGCTACATATGTTTATACCAAAGCTTCAACCCAGAAGAGCAAATTTAACTTTGTGAACATTTGTCGATACCTATTATGTGCTATTAATCAAAAGAACCATTCATTTCCATGAACTCACTTTAAAGTCCCTTATGCAGAAAATGTACCTATTATTAAAGTAGCCTGAAAGTTTGAGGTAGTAAATGTCTGCTCATTTGCAGGTCGCCCTTCCAAAGATTCAGTGGGTCAGATATCTGTTCATGTGGACATCACCACTACCCCAGGAACTGGAGAGCATAAAATCACTGTAAAAGGTATGTATCAAGTCCAGATGGACCAAATAGCCTAGTAGACTTTAACCTTTACAATAATATAAAAAATGTAATTTTTTCTTAGATCTATTTTTAAAAACATGTAATGATTTTAGGGCATGCTCATAATTTTTTCATGAAACCAGAACTTTTGATCTAAAACTGAAAAAAATCAATGGCACAGATATTTAGCCTATATTATCTGAAGTATCTAAATGGTTTAAATACATTGGAGATTACATTTCAAACTGGCATACATTGAACATTTTCTTTTGTTGATGCTAAGATATACATTGAACATTAGGGCTATGGTCAGCTCCATAACCTGTCAAATCTTATATGTTGGGTCACTATGTTCTTAACATTCACATTATCTACCTATATACTTGTTTTTCTATGTGATTTTCAACAACAGACTTGATTTTTTTCTTTTTAATGACTAGTTCAATCTATTGGTTTTAGATTGCAAAAATATAATCTGAATGCTGCAGATATTTCAAAGGTGAAATTTAATGGTTAATTTTGCTCAATAAAACCATATTCTGTTTTATATTATTATAGAGTTAGTCACAATATCCACCTTATTAAAAACCATGGCCTTCTGACACATTTTAAATTTGCATTGCCTGATGTATGCTTGCATTATAAAAGTAACACAGTTATAGTCTATAATGGATTATGTACTGTGTTGGTAAATGGACATGCCTACACTTGCCAGTGTCTTTAAATATTTTTCAAAAATATTTTGACACTGCATATCAAATGCCCAGAGTTGTGAACTTTTACAATAAGTATTTTTTTTTAAGATTTTATTTATTTATTTGACAGACAGAGATCACAAGCAGGCAGAGAGGAAGGCAGAGAGAGAGAGGGAAGCAGGCTATCTGCCGAGCAGAGAGCTCGATGTGGGGCTCGATCCCAGGACCCTGGGATCTTGACCTGAGCCGAAGGCAGAGGCCCTAACCCACTGAGCCACCCAGGTGCCCCTACAATAAGTATTTTAATTATAATATATTTTTAAACATTTTTCAAAGGATGACAAAAGTATACACATAAGAATGTACATTTAAGAATTATTTATGATGCCTGAAATTAGGAAACAGCCATAACAGTAAGTTATTTGTTAAATATAGGATGGAATATCCATATAGTTGAATATTTGCAATTTGAAAATATATAATGAATTAGAAAGATATCCAGGATAGACTTTAAAAATATAGCTTACTCATAAGACTACAAATGATCCCATTCTACATATAAATATTGAAAGCATACATACCAAAATATTACATCGTTGCCCCTTACTGATAAAATTACAGACTTTATTTTCATCTATTCCCTATTTTCTGTATATTTTTTAGGTGTTTCATGATGAACATATCTTCACTTTTGATATGAAAAAAAAATCACATTTTTACTTAAATAAGAATAACTTTTCATTAGTAAAAAAATGTCATTTCAATTTTAGCTAAATTTTCACTACACCAGTACCACACAGTTTAGAACTGGAAGCTCAGTCAAGTGTGCATTCAGAAGAGTAAATTGCTTTATGTGTGTGGGTGTGGGTGTGGGTGTGTGTGTGGGTGTGTATATGTGCATGCATGTTTATCAGTAGGGTTACGGCACTATCAAGGGCAAGTTATGGCTTCATAATCATTAAAAAGAAATTAATTCTAAAAAAAAAATTAACTCTAAGGATCGAAGAGGAGACTAAGATTCCACACATTTGTTTGCTAACACTTTGCATTCCTTTCCTTTGTTGTTTTTAGTGATTGCTATTAATGACCTAAACTGGCAGACCACTGCAATGTTCCGGCCCTTTGTGGAAGTCTGTATACTGGGACCTAACCTTGGGGACAAGAAGAGAAAACAAGGCACGAAGACAAAAAGCAACACATGGTCACCAAAGTACAATGAAACCTTTCAATTGTAAGTTGGGACCCCACTCACCTATTCAACCAGGCAATAGCCATTATACAGCTTAAACTTATTGAGGGGATTAGGGTGGGAATGGCACTGGGCTTTGCTAAGGAAAGCAAAACCTATAGGTTGATGTATTCCAGCTCATCCCTGATCCCAGCAAATTAAGACAGCTGAATTAAGTTTTTAATTCCCTTCCATTGCCCAGTAGCTGTCCAGTGCCTACCATGCATTAAGCACTATTGCAGGAATTTGGTATATATAACAAAAGGTCTCTGCTCTCATGGAAGTTACTTTCTGGAAATGAGGAATGTCATGGATGAGAAACATCAAAATCACAAATAAGCAAAAATTTATCATAGGATAATACTATACAGAGAATTAAAACAGGCTGAAATCATAGGTTGGTTGATTGGCTGCTTAGAGTGGGTGTTCAGAGAAGCCTCAATTTGAAGACTTTTCAGATATGAATGTGAATGATCTGATTTATATATTTAAATGATTATTTTGTTTGCTGTATAAAAAAAAATGATAGGAAAACAAGAGCAAACATAGAGAGATGAATTGGAAGCCTGTTGCAATAGTCCAGGCAAGAGAGAATACTTACTCACAGTTGGTAGAGTTGGTAGGAGGGAAATGGAAGTGAGTAGTAGAGAGAGGGAAAGAAGTGGAAAAATTGTGGTTATGTATTGGAATGGAACTTGCAGTCGACTGGAAGGAGCCCATGAAAGAAGGAGTATATAAGCTAGGCTTCTGAAAACACTTAATTTAGGATATTTCATCAAAACAGCCTTATTTACAAAGGAATCTACCAGGCTGTGAGAATTGAAGGACTATAAGCCATAGTGATATAAACTGGGTCTAGTAGGGGTCAGGCTACTCCCCTACTGTGCATGTAGGAGATAAAGATTAGTTACTAAAACTGGGGTGTCGAGGGGGGACTTCATGTGTCATCAACCACCTCAAAAGGAGCAGTGGCCTTTCCTGGAGTATCCTAGAGGCAGCATCACACATGAGGGGTCAGGGAAATAGACTCTGACCTCCCCTTATTACTTCTGATATCCTGAAGGAGCTTCCTTTTGGTTAAAACCAACAGGAAGCCACAGTATGAAGAAACTATTGATACAGTCCTTACAGGTCAGCATTCTTTTGCAAAGTACACGGAGAAGGATGGAAAGTATATCTGGTTGAGGCAATAGAAGTTATCTGGCTCTGAGTGAAATCAAAGATGACCTCTAGGTTTGGGGCATAAACAGTTGCATAGATAATGATTTCCTGAGGTGGGAGAATCGGGACAAGAGGTGAGATCAAAGATTGTTTTAAATGGATTGATTTGGAGATGCCTAAGGGACATTCCAGATGCGCTATCAAATAGATAGTTGGATCTAACTTGAGAATTAGCTGTGTATAGATATAATTCCATAAATCTAGATGAATCTATCAGGGATAGAGAAGAGAGGAGGACCAAGCCCTTGGGGTTTACACGTGTACACATGCTTAGCTTACCTGAATACTTTCTCACTGGCTTGGTTCTTTGTTTGTTTTGCATCCCTAATTTCCCAGAGATTTTTCAGCACAGTAAATTCTGAATATTAAACTCTGTTGCCACTCATCAGAACTTAACCATCCTACATCTCTTAAAATGGCTGTAGATTCACCATATTCAAAATCTCTGCTAATAAACCAGCTCACAAGATTCCATGTATGTACTCCTCTCCACACACACACACAACAACACACACACACAAATTGACCCAATTAAAATGTCTTCTACAAGTTTCTAGGAATTACTTGAACCACGCAAAATTCAGATATAACACTGTGAGGTCGTAAAACCATGCATAATTCCGGGGAAAGGCAGCCTTTTGGTGCATTTTAATTCATAAGAAGATCTGGCTCCCATCAGATTTTGCTCTTCTATTTCTTACCCATCAGGCCTCCATTTTCTTTCACATTATTTCAGGTACTCTATGTACTCTAAAATAAGTACATACTTCAATTATCAGCATTGCCCAGAAACAAAAGTTGGTCTCTGCAAAATATTTGATCTAAGAAAGTCACTTAGAAAAGGAAGGGATTTGGAACCTCCTACTGCTGAGGAACAGATGTGCCTTCATTAGAAGTGAAGGAGAGAGAGTCAATTATCATATGGTTTCACTTATTTGTGGAGCATAACAAATAGCATGGAGGACAAGGGGAGTTAGAGAGGAGAAGGGAGTTGGGGGAAATTGGAAGGGAAGGTGAACCATGAGAGACTATGGACTCTGAAAAACAATCTGAGGGGTTTGAAGCGGCGGGGGGTGGGAGGTTGGGGGAACCAGGTGGTGGGTATTAGAGAGGGCACGGATTGCATGGAGCACTGGGTGTGGTGCAAAAACAATGAATACTGTTATGCTGAAATAAATTAAAAAAAAAAGTGAAGGAGATCTGAGGATGCAGTAAAATAAGGGGCAGGGGAGGATTATTCTCAGTGTATTACCTCTCAGCCTTCTTCATTAAGCTCAGTTCTGCACTGCTAAGTTGTTATTAGTCTAGGCCATCCGCAGCCCCACACTTGACAGGTGTCTAACTGTTGCCATCAGAAAGAACTAGCACGGAAGCACCACGCTCTGCTGGAACTGATTTACTCTGGAGATTTGGATCTAATTTGGCATCTTGTGAATAGTCTTGTTGTCTGTGGTAGCTTGATAGTCTAGGTTGTGTATTCCCCTGAGAAAAGCCTCCTAGATATAATAGCATGGCCAGGAGTCCGAGGTAAAGAAAAGAGAACAGAACTTCTATTCTGACAAGTTCTATGAAAAGGCATAGAGCTTCTGGCAAGAACTACCGCTTTCCTTGGTCTACCCTCCACGACCCTTCCCCACCCCATCCTACTCCTATATCAGTGAGAAGACCACACCTCCGAGAATTAAGTATAACATATTTTAATTATTATTAAATTATCTATTAATCTTTATCTATTATCTAATATTTATCTATTAAATATCTAATAAATATCTATCTTATCTGTCTAAGCTATCTAATAAGTATCTAATATTTATCTATTATCTATTAATATGCTTAATATCAAGACAGCAAAGCATATTCAGATTGATTTCCTATTTCTATATAGGCAAAAAGTACTTAATTTAGATTGCTAAGTAATATCTATGTAAAGACAATCTAAAATGGAAATGATACTCACATCAGAGTTAAAGTACATGATAATCAGGGGAGGGAGACAAACCGTAAGAGACTCTGAATCTCAGGAAACAAATGAGGGTTGCTTGGGGGTGGGAGGGGAGGGATAGGGTGACTGGGTGATGGACACTGGGGAGGGTATGTGCTATGATGAGTGCTGTGAATCGTGTAAGACTGATGATTCACAGACCTGTACCCCTGAAACAAATAATACATTATATGCTAACAAAAAAATAAATACATGATACTGCATTTTGCCAAATAAATGGCTGAGGAATGGAGAAAACTTAATTTTAACAGTATTTTAGAACCAGATGGAGCCCTAGGTGAAGTCAAGTTTTTGCTCAAAATTCTTATTTTTAATTCACAACAGCATTCTGGGTAATGAAAACCGGCCAGGGGCCTACGAACTTCATCTGTCAGTTAAAGATTACTGCTTTGCCAGAGAAGATCGAATTATCGGAATGACGGTAATTCAACTACAGAACATAACAGAAAAGGGAAGCTATGGGGCATGGTATCCCCTTCTGAAAAATGTCTCTATGGATGAAACTGGTTTGACTATCCTTAGAATACTCTCTCAGAGGACCAGCGATGATGTGGCTAAAGAATTTGTAAGACTGAAATCTGAAACCAGATCAGCTGAAGAGAGTGCTTGAAACAAAACTGCAAGATAACATCTTTGAGAAACTACAAACTCTGACTACTGCATGCATGTGCAAATACATGGGAATGTTTAGCTCACTACGTTTCAGTGTTTGCCAGTACTCAAGTACAATGTCTACAAAGTATGTGGAAAACCTACTGAACTTTTATACCAGTTCTGGTCTTTGGAAAATAAATGTTCCATGAAGTGCCAAAATTACGATGTTAAGTGAAAATCCAGAATATCTTTTAAAATGTTTCATTTCATTACCAATTTCTCATCCTTTAAACATACTAAAAAACCCAAAACAAACAAAAAAACCCTCATTTTTTCAATTTGTCCATTGTCTTTTGTTAAATTCACTTATATTTCCCATAGATCAGAAAGCATTTGTTACCGTAATTTGTTTTATTTAGACTTACCTCATTGTAGATGTCATACAAGTTAACTTTTTCTATCATAACTAGAAATACAGTCACTTCTAGAAAGTGTTTGTAATTTTATAGTTGCAGATCTATTGTGATGATTTTTGCATACAAATTAAAATAGAAAAGGTGGGAAATATTTTATGCCGACAAGTTTCCAACCTTTCTGAAATATCACTGTGAAGAAAAGCTATTAAAGCAGACTTATACAAAGCAATGCTAAATAGTTTGTTAACAATGTTTGATATATTGACAAAACTTTGTTCTTTTAAACTGCCAAGGTCACATCACGTTTGTTTAAAAAAAAAAAAAAGGTAAGTTGATACATTTACCATCTAGCATTATGTCTTGGCTTTACCAAATGTCATTCTTTACAAAGTCATAGGATTAAGGGTTTAGAGATGCAGTGGAAGGTTTGTTTCTTCAAATTATCTATAATAAGTAACTATACTGTTAGTGTTTTGCCTCTGACAGTTATGACTATCTCCTTATTTACTTAGCACTCTAATCAAGTTACATGTTTTCTTTAAAAAAAATATTCAACAATTTATACTGAATGCAGCATTCCTATATATTGCACTGGAGCAAAAAGACACGTCTTCATCTATTTAGTAAAAAATGTAAAATAAGGTCTGAAGAAACTGCTTATAATTTTATAATTTATGTTATTTACAAGCCCAGAATGCATCAGATACAATAGGAAAACAACTCAATACAGCTTGGTACATTAAAATATAACTAGGTTGGATTTTGAATATGAAATAGTTTATGAATATTTGCATTTTCTGTCTTTTTATGGTTTGCCTTTTTAGAGTCTGTATCTAAATACTTGGCTGTAGAACAGTTCCTTGTAATTGTAACTTCTGGTCATAACTGTTAGTGGACAACATACACATGCAGAAACAAGAACCTGTTACAATGATTATGTTTTGTGAACAAGCTGGTCTGCTATGGTAAGGACAGAAATGACTGGTATCATGACTCTCAGAACATTTTGCTCCTGGGTGTGTAAACAACAGACCAGTGAGATCCACTAATTCATGTTAAATTGTTAGGCAATTGCTTTGTTGATGACTTCTCCAAATGCATAGTACAGTGCTGTCCTCTGGCATATGCATTAATAAATGGATGTATATTGAACACATGCAATGCTATTGTATTTTCTGCCTTTTTATTTCATTTATGCAGCATAATTCTTTCCTTAAAAATAAAAACCCCAGACTCTTTTTACTGGCTAGAACACTTTTCACATTTTTTGGTTCTAATGTCGCATTAAAATTTGAGAAAATTTGGGTGCCTGCGTGGCTCAGTGGGTTAAGCCTCTGCCTTCGGCTCAGGTCATGATCTCAGGGTCCAGGGATCGAGCCCTGCATCAGGCTCTCTGCTCAGCAGGGAGCCTGCTTTGCCCCCTTTCTCTGCCTGTCTCTGCCTACTTGTGATCTCTCTGTCAAATAAATCAAATCTTTAAAATTTTTTTTGAGAAAAATTTTCCAGGTGTTGTGTTCATGGAAACAGCTCCCCATTATAGATAATGACACTGAACATAAGGAAGAACTAAGATATCCACCTGTAGGTCTCTGAATACTGTTAAGCCCCAAGAGGAAAACTCAACATTTAATATATGAACAAGCAACATTCTTAAATAAAAACTTATGTTACAGAAGATTTTATTATTTGATTGCATGATTAATTCTAGATTCATCTTACAATGTTTTTTTTTTTAAGATTTTATTTATTTGACAGACAGATCACAAGTAGGCAGAGAGGCAGGCAGAGAGAGAGGAGGAAGCAGGCTCCCTGCTGAGCAGAGAGCCCAACGTGGGGCTCGATCCCAGGACCCCGGGATCATGACCCGAGCCGAAAGCAGAGGCTTTAACCCACTGAGCCACCCAGGCGCCCCTCATCTTACAATGATTTTACAGAACATGAACTTGACCTCTTTAAGGAGCACGTTGTCATAAAGCATGACACACTCAAAGAAATGGCAGTTTGGGTTCTCATGGATCACTTAAAAAAATTTTGAGCTAAGTATTTTTTTCCCAGTATTTAATTGAATGTAGACATTGTCTTTTTTATATACAGCTGTATACAATATATATCAAATGCTAATGGTGGCATTGTGAATTGAGTCTATTTATTAATATCACAAAACACAGGTAATAATTTAGAAATGGTTCTAAATTCTGTAGGCTTTGTTGTTTTCTCCCAAAGTAGTAATCACTTGAGGTTCACAGTGATCACTGTCAAATGTAAGGATCTATTACAGTGTGTGGTAATTTATCTTATTCTAGGTAAGATACACAAAGATAAAGCTCTGTTATTCATCTACAGATAAACCTCACATTAGAAGTTCTTAAAGAGGGGCGCCTGGGTGGCTCAGTGGGTTAAGCCTCTGCCTTCAGCTCAGGTCATGGTCTTGGGGTCCTGGGATCGAGCCCCGCATCGGGCTCTCTGCTCAGCAGGGAGCCTGCTTCCCTTCACTCTCTCTCTCTGCCTGCCTCTCTGCCTACTTGTGACCTCTGTCAAATAAATAAATTAAATCTTTAAAAAAAAAAAAGTTCTTAAACCCGTGAAAATCAAATTCCAGCAAAATGAAGTACTGAAAACCATAGTGGAGCACTTACTATTTAAGGGAACTCTGAAGAATGATCATTTAAATAATCAGATGTCCCTCTATTTCTAGGATAATTTATATATTGAATTTCCCTTAAACGAGGCACATTTACAGGTGACAATTCTAGCCTCATGTTTTTCACTTGGCTTAAAAAAAAATGTTTGGAGTGAGCTTTATGGTCTCCTTTTAATTTCTCTAACTTATATAAAGGTATGCTACATGACCTTTTTCATGAAGTAATAGTTTCAAATCTTTATACTTAAATAATCATTTATACAGGAGTCAGAAACTATCTGTGGATGGATGTCTGATTCCCACATTACAATATGCAGAATTCTGGGACACACAGGGAGGAGGAGACTGCCTTTCCTGGCAGTACCTTGTGTGTATATTCTCTCCAGTCCTTTGAAATAGCTGGCTCTTGCTCCTGAACTTTAGCCCTCCAGAGGCTGCTGATCTCTCTGCTTGACACTTCTGGTGTTTTGTTGTTGTTTTTTGTTTTGTTTTGTTTTGTTTTAAATCCAAAACTAGAATATATCACTTAAGGGAGGATAAATTCCAATTTATGAATATCACATTAGATATATTCTAAATTATTTTTTCACATTATGACAGCTTTGAAATCAGGATACATTTTATAAACATTGGTACATTATAGTTTGATGTTTCCTTAATAATATATAAAAATAGGTCATATTTCAATGAATAACTTCTTGGAAATAGTAAGTATATATATATTTTTTTTGAGATTAAGAGTCTTGGCTCATGGACTTTTTTTTTTTTTTTTAGATTTTATTTATTTATTTGACAGAGAGAGATCACAAGTAGATGGAGAGGCAGGCAGAGAGAGAGAGAGAGAGGGAAGCAGGCTCCCCGCTGAGCAGAGAGCTGGATGCGGGACTTGATCCCAGGACCCTGAGATCATGACCTGAGCCAAAGGCAGCGGCTCAACCCACTGAACCACCCAGGCGCCCCGGAAATAGTAAGTATATTTATGAAGGTTTATATACATAGGAAAATAAAGTGATGGTTAGTTATCTATTTAACACATCATATATATTTTAAATTGCATATACTCTTTGGCTATACATTCGTGTTTTGACAGATTCATAGAATCGCGTTTGGTGAATATTTTTGCACCTATATTCAGGAACTATATTGACCCCTAGTTACCTTTTCTTGTTATGTTTATGTCTTATTTTGTCATCACGATATTCTCCTAAAATGAACTGGGAATTGTTTCCCCTATTTCTACTTTCTGGAAGAGATTATATGGAAATGATTTAAATGTTCCCTTAAAATTTGGTAAAATTCAACACTGAAAATATGTGGACCTAGATTTCTTCTTTATTGAGAGGTTTGAAACATCAAATTCAACTACCTTAATGAATATAAAACTATTAAAGGTATCTATTTCTCCTTGAGTTTAAATTTATTTGTGTCTCTTTTAAGGAACTGCTCCCTTTCACTTACTTGATCAAATTTATGAATATCAAGTTTCTGTAGTACTCTTTAATTATCCTTTTCACCTATAGGATCTATACTGATTTTCCCTCTTAATTTTTATATTGATATGTTAGTATCTTGATTCTTTATTTCTTGTTCAATATAAGGACTTAACTTATTTCATTCATCTTTTAAAAGAACCAGCTGTGATTCCACTGATTTTCCTTTTTTTTCTGCTTTGAATTTCAACATCTTCTGGTCATTATTTTCTTACATCTGCTTGGTGAGGTCTTTTCTACTTCTAATTCATTAAAGTGGGACCTTCAATTATTGATTTGATATCCTTTGTCTTTTAAAATTTAAGTACCAATGACACAAATTTTCTTTTTTTAAGAAACTTATTTTATCATTTTTTATTATGTTAGTCACCATACAGTACATCATTAGCTTTTGGTGTGGTGTTCCATGATTCATTGCTTATTTATAACACCCTTTGCTCCATGAAATATATGCCCTCCCTTATATCCA